TGGCGCTAAACTATTGTTAAGCGACAGACTTAGTAAAGTCGACCGGTCGAGAAATAACTAGCAGATTCGACGAACCTCGGCCACGATCATTTCGTAGGCGAGAAGACTCTTAATGGTTCCGACTAGCGCGGCGTGATCCACGCCGGCATTCGCGGCCCATTCGCCGGAGTCTTTAATCTCTCCCGCCTCGTTCAGCGCTCGCAGGAGCCGCTCTTCCACGCCTTCCATCGCGCCGCGGCGAGAATGCAGCTATAACGGAGGGTGATTGAAGCGAACGGACACTCTGAGTTACTGTGAGCTGAACCGTCTATAACGTAGCCTCGCAAATAAGAGGCGAAGAGGAAGGGACAGGAGAAACTCCCCAAGGCAATATCGATGTTGGGGGAAGTGGGTTTGTTCTTATAACGAAGGGCGATTGGTGTTACTGATTCGATCCTTCGCCAGCTCCCACGTGGTATTCCTTCGAAACACATATTATTTTCCAAAGTTTACTGTAGTAAGCGTACAATATCAAAAGATAGCTTCAGGCGCTGAACTGAAATTCCAGAATCCCAGGGAACATCAAGTGACTTCAGCTTGTTCTGTTCAATTACAGCGTTTGAGTACGATGCTGTGCAATTTGAAGCCGTTTCCAGAACACCGCTCTGAACCGCTGCGAGTCCTAGCAATTTCTATTCCTTGTGGGCATTTCTGGCCTGCCTCCAGTGTTCGATTGCTTCGAATTCACGTCTCCATTCCTCCATTCCACTCTTTCTCCCCAATTCCGCCATTTTTCTCCCTTCACCAGTATCACCAATACCCGTTCACCGCATTCAGCACCCTCTTCCAATCTGTCGCGCGAGTCGCGCGACTTAGCAACATTTTTTCGTTCGCGATGGCGACTCTCGCCTGTCCCTCCTCTCTGCGAAGCTCGCGAAATCTGCGAAGTTACTCAGAAAGCCACGATCGCCAGAATACCGTCACCTCGCCTCACGGAGATCATCTCGCGATTTCGAGCGCGTCTTGCGCGCGCGCGAGCGGCGGCGCCCAGTCTTCCAGCATTCGCTTCCAAGCCAGGGCTGGCGTTGAGGAATGCATGCAACGATCCTCGTTGTTAGCTTCCCCGCAAAGAAACACAGGCTTTATAAATTCGTCGATCACAGGAAACGGGCTGCGGGGATTCGGTTCGTCTCCCGCCTTTATCCAGAGCCGGAATCAAACCACGCAGGGACTTCATACGCGTTATCGACACGGCCCGGGTTTCCATACAAGAGCGTTTTTTTGGAAAGGAGAGTCGGACGAGGAGAAGGGTAAAGTGGATGATGCGGAAAAGGCCGCGGAGGAAGCGGAGAAGGAGAGAGAGGCGAAGGCGAAAGAGGAGGAGGAGAAGAGGAATAAGCTGGTCATCAGCATTTTCGTTGACCTGCTGGGGTGGGCCTGCTGCTCCTGTCCTCCTCTCCCCTCCCCTCATCTGCTCCTTTCCTCCTCTCTTCCTCTCTACCTCTCCTCCGCTTCTTATGCACTCTTATTCTGACAAGATTTTTGTCTTGCATACCCCCTCCCATTCACTTCCCCTCCCCCTCTGTCCCTCTCTCTCCCAACTTACAACTCATTAATCCCACACTCCCAGGTTGTTGGCCAGTCGGCGCATTGTCCCTTGAAAATTACATCTGACTCTCTCCCCCCCCCCCCCCCGCACTCACGGCTCCCAGGTTGTTGGCCAGTCGCCACATTGTCCCTCTGGACTACATCTGGATTCCTACATCGGCCTTCATCATTCAGGTGCTTTCAACATACACATCAGGTGCCTTCCACAGCCTTTCAGGTGCGTCATTCTTGTGCTTCCAACAGACGCCCAGGTGTCTGCAACAGTCATTCGGGTGCTTTCTGCTTTCAACAGATGCTGAGATGTTCCAAGGGATTGCGTAAGGAGGTAAGTTGTTTGAGCTAATGCACCTGCACTCGTATCTTTTATCTCACCTGCCCCCTTTCCTCCTGTCTCTCCTGCTCGCCTGTCTCTCTTGTCCCCACCCCGCCCCCCCACCAGAGAATGTACCGAGCACCGCTGCTCTCCACTGACCCTTGAGTCGTCTCAAACTCACCCACTCTTTCGCTGCCCCCTGCTCTCCTGTCCCTCCTACCCCCCCCCCCGCCCCCCCTCCAGAGAATGTACCGAGCACCGCTGCTCTCCAGTGTGGGCTTCGTGGAGCAAGCCATACCGGGCATAGAGTTCATCCCCACGGCCACACTTGGTGAGTGTGAGGAGTGCTAGTAGGTAGCAGTGAGGAGCTCACGTGTGTGTGCGTGTGTGTGTCTGGTGGCTTGGTATGGGCGTGGGTATTCGCATGGTCATGGCGCACAGCTCTCACCTCTCCAGTGTGGGCTTCGTGGAGCAGGCCATAGCGGGCGTAGAATTCATTCCCACCACCACACTTGGTGAGTCCGAGGAGCATTAGTACGTACACGTGTGCTGGTTGTATGTGTGTATCACGTGGCATGGGCAGTGGCATGGTCACGGCCATCGCCCACCAGTCTCCCGTGTTTGTCGTCGTGGAGCAAGCCATCCCGGGTATAGAGTTCCTTCCCACAACCACACTCGGTGAGTCACGGCATGTCATGATGGTATAAACTACATCCTCGCGTACACACTTGGTGAGTCACGGGCATGACATGCAGCACATGAATCACACTCGACGGATCACTCGAAAAGCCCGCCACCTCTGTGTCATGATGCCACCCTGTGTGATCTTATCCATCTCACTTGTTCCTCACCTTTCCCCTTGCCCTCCCAGGCTGGATGCTTGAGACGTACCCAGAGCTGCGGAAGCTCACTCGAGCCCTGCCACTTATGGGCAGACTCAGCAGCCGCTTCAAAAAAGGATAGATACAGTATGCATAGGCTGAAGGTTCGTATAAGATTGTGGTTATCTGCTATACCAAAAGCCAATGCAGAAATCGCCCAACTGCTCTACTAGCCTTGATTTAGATCAGGGGGGGCCACAAATCATACAACATACCGGTAAGTTTGATTCTGTTTGTGTATTCGAGAGCATTTGATGGTTGGAATGTACCTGGGGAGGGAAAATGGGTTATGTAGTTACTGAAAAATCAGGTTTGCCATTGTTAGTCATTTCCATAACCAATGCTGTCCACACCTATCATGTACACCGGCATGATAAATATTACAAATTATTCCTGGAGATAGCGGATGAACCAACTCGATTGAACGACATGACCAGACGTACAGTATTCCTCATGAAAACGGGCGCATTGGGTCCGCGTCGCGCCAAAAGACATTGGCGTCGCATGTTGCGGTCCGTTCGATCTCGCATTTCATTTCATTCCGTTTCCCCCTTCCAATTCATGGGCACGGATATGCTGCTCCTGCTTTCCACGTTGCACGACTGATACCAAGACCCAGAGCCAGCAACCCCACTCCTCCTTTGGCGACCTTTCCAGGCTCACCTCAATACACCGACCAAAATGTGCCACCAGACGTCCTTATCGCCGACCATTCGCTAAGCTTACTTATCACCGACCATTAGCTGGTTGCGGTATTGTTAGGGTTGGTTCGCCCAACCACGGAACCTATGGCGAAAGTCTCTACGACGGCGGAATGACGGCGAAATGGAAGCGCATGGATGATTCTAGGTGAAACAGTGGAAATCGGCCTACGGCGTGAGAAGGGAGAGAGAAATCGAGAAGGAATGTGTGAGAAGGTGGAAGAAGCATCGAGATTGAAGTTGGCGAGGGGAAATTGTGGTTCTAGCTCGAGGCGTGTTCGAGAAGGTTCCAGATTCGGTCTTGAGGAGTGTTCACCGAATTCGGTTCGGTTGTGTGTGCGAATCGGGGTGAAACGAGGCACACGCGGTTACTTGGGAAACAAGTGAAGTTACGAATCGCATTTTGTGTCTTGCCTGACTATAAAACTGCTTGTACTCATTCTGGAAATCATACCAGTCAGATTCTGAAAATTGCTGAAGTGTGTATTGACAACTTCAAGCAGAGCTGCGCATATCATTGGATCCGGGAGATCGTGGAGAACACGATAGGCGATAGCAAGTAGACTATTGCCGATTAAGGTGCTTACGATCCTAAGAGGTATCACCAGCGAGCTGGTAGACTTCTGGCCTTATCCCGATGTGCACTCATGCTACTCAGGAGCTCCACTGGTCCTATAAATGCCAGGATATGAATGTTAGTCGGTACCAGTTCCAGTTCAGCCAGAAACGAAGCCTCACTACCCCGAATTCTACTAGAACCATCGCACAATCTCCTAACTCTCTCTTCCTATCGGGGACACCACCCTAGTTCCTCGGCACTTGTTCCAGCCATGACTCTACAAAGAATGAGAGGGCCCAAAATCACCGCGGGGGCTACTATGGGTAGGTATGCGCAAAAAAAAACAAGTCTGCCAGATGCTGGCAGCATGGCTAGGAGAGAACCGCATACCTCCGACAATGTCTCAACACTGCGTAAGTTTGCGAACCCCTCCGCTCCCGCCCGCTGATTGGCAGTGTCTCTCCGAGAAAAGCGCCTGCTGATTGGTCGCGCACATCTGGGACACGAGCCTTCTGATTGGCCCCGCCACTCTGGGACACCCCAGTGTGTGGTTTGGGTCAGTGTGTAGTTGTACATCCTATAAGTTCCATCCTGATCCGATCAGTAGTTGGCCACACCACAATCCTTGTATTTAAAAACAGTTACATATAGCATACGCCGCATATGTTCTAAGTAATAGATATAATGTGCCCCATATAAGGCCAGCAGGGGGCGCATACGGGTACGAGCTCTATCTCGCCCCTTACTATAACATACGCATATATGATACAAGGATCCCGCACAAAGTCTGAAGGAGGCCCACAGGTGGGAGTTGGAACGAACGGCGCAGGTGGGGGGTTGGTGAGTAAGTATAACATGGCTGACCAGGCATGAGATTGGCACGCAACCGGGCTAGTCTTGCGTTGTGCCGAAACACCGATTACGTTCCCCCGTGCCATTAAAGATGTGGCAACGGCTGATCAAGTGAGGCTCTCAGTGCACCTGTACGCCCATCGGTTCAGGTACCAAATCCCTTGCCGCTCGAACGAGGGCACGCAGTGAACGGCGCGACGGATGGCAGCCACCTCAATGACCGCCAGTCCCCCCATTGCCGATGGAGCAGAGAGCGTGCGGCAGCCAGTATGAGCGTCCAGCCCCACATCCACCAGCCTCTGGATAATAGCCACCTCCACCTCCTGCTAGGCCCCTGGCACATCCTGCTCTGCCTCCAACAGCATGAGGAGCCTCCCATGCTCAACCTGCCCTGCTGCCGTCTCGTACTCCACGCGCGAGAAGGCTTTGTGCCCGTGGAAGGAAGCGGCAGCCCGGACATAGTGGGGCCGCACGGTGCCAAGGTCCGTGTGTCCTACGGGCACGGCCAGAGCCGTGTGTGCCTGCGACAAGGGATGGGTTATAGTGTACAGTTAGCATGGTTTAACAGCCTCCTGGCAGGATGGCATGGTTGCGTGCAACACCGCACTGCATCCGCAACAGAGAGGCCACAATACGAGTTCACGTAAGCATGCACGTCTACGTTACCTTGGCTGGAAAGGGGCGTAAGCATGCCGCGCGCATGGCACCGTCGTATGTGGCAAGGATCCCGCCTAGCGCCGTGTTCAGCTCCTCGAACACCGAGCCCGCTGGCTCGCCAACATGGGGAGCGCTGGTGAGCGACCTGCTAGCCCTCGTCAGCTGTGGGGTGCCCGTGGCGATGGCCTGAATGGGATGGATGTACATGATGGTGGATGGCGGGCAAGGATGTAATGCGCCACGTATGAGGGGCTGGGTTTCGGGACGTGCGTGTGCGTACATCAACCTGTAAAGAAATGATATGCTAAACTTACACGGGCCATCGCGGTGTTGTTCCGCCTCTTGTCCGTGAGGCGCGTCTCCACTTGCGCACGCATTGCCGCCCTTACGTTGTGCGTTGCGATCGCACGCAATGGCGCCCTGTGGTTCGAGGCGCGATACGGTAGCTTGCAGGTACGAATGTGGGCGTTTTCGTAAACCACTGCAGAGAACTCGCGTGGCACACCGTTGCGGCGAATGAAGTCTGGCAGATGGGTTAGCAGGTGGACCTTCAGCAGGTTGTACCCCTGGCCGCGACGCGGGAAAACAGCCTCGCACGCTTGGACCATCCCGCCAGATGCAACAACGAGATGCTTTTCATCGCTATGAGCGTGCATCCGCAAGTGTAGATCAACGACCCGTATCTTCTGGTCCATTGATCCAGCTCGGCCAGCGAGGCCTCGGTGTGGTAGGGGGCGCGCACGCAACTCTCGAGCCATTCGAGCACCCCAACAAGAGCCGCGCGCCTGATGGGAATCCCTTCCCCTTCCATCACGAAAGGGACGATCTGCACGAGTGACACGAAAACAGAACCACCGATCAGCTTGGAATGCGGTTACACAAAATCTCATCGGCAGTCCAGGGTTCAAACTGGCGTTGTATGAGTAGGGGAAACTACCATCATGACCGTGGCGTGCTCTGACGCCGTGTAGTTTGCCCCACTCGCCCAGTAGTTGCCAGATCCGGGCACGGCGATGCCAGCGAGTCTCGCATCGGGGTACATTTCTGCCTGGCGCCTGCACACGATGCAACAGAGAATGTGGCCAGCACATGGATCAACATCTTCGGTGCTGGTGCAGATTGTGGCAAGTGGGACAGCCCTGTGCGTGGAGATGTCCGCATACCCATCCTTGGTAGCGGCCTCGTCGTTGTTGCCCCGCAGCGCGTCACGGATGTAAAGCCACCAGCCGATGAAGATTGCATGCAGAATGTCGGGCCCCATCGTCAGGTATGTGTTGCCCCATACCGTTCGGCTGAAGTTGAAGTCCCACAGGAAACTCTGCAGGGGAGAGTAAGGGGGCGGGAAAACGTGCACCAATCAGTATACCCCTCAATGGCCGAATTTCTAACGGGTGTGGCACATACAACGTACCGGAACGCGCATGGTCGCGTAGAGGGCGGCCTCTGCTGGGTCATCGAGCAGTCCTTCCTGCTTTTCCACAGTCCTCATCTCGGCTGCCTCTCGGTCCATGTCACGGAGGTGCTCACGCTGCACATAGCAGAGGGAGCAGGGCCTCACAGATCCGAGCTGCTGGGTGCATGACACTTTGCAGGTCTCCGGGTAGTCGGCCACGCAGGAGAATAGAAGCGGCACCACAAATCGCGTGACCCCGTTGGGATCCGTCGCCGCCATGCCCCTGTGAATGCCGCACATAGGCAGATGCAAGATGAGCCTTGACAAGCAATAGCGGGACTTGGATCTCAAATACTAATCGGTCCGAACAGGTGTGGCCAACGGGACACTCACGTGTGTGACGCCACGATGAGGTCGGCCAGCACGATCTTCATCGCGGCCTGGAACAACGCCGTCTTCTCGGTTGAGCTCATCTGGCTCGGCGGAAACGGCAACATCTCCAACAACAGCTTGCCACACTCTTGCCAATGGCGGTAGAGAGGGATGTTGGCGATGCTGATGTACACCGCCCACACCTTGGTACGCTCGTTTCCGCTTAGCATGGTGGCGACGCTGGAGAGGATGAGGGGAATCACAACCGTCCCTTCGCCGAACATCGCCACCGCAGCACGCTGGGCTTCCTCCCAATAAGTAGTTGTCTTAGGTGTGGAGTACATGCGACCAGCCCCTGAGTTCTCTTCACGTGGAAAGAGAACGAACTCCTCCGCGTTGGCGGGGTTCCGTAGCAGCTCTAGGACAACCTGCGAGATGGGGTGGATTCAGCACAACAAAGCGGGACGACGATTCAGCGCTGAAACAACCACCTCATGCACATTGCAGTGCACCGTTATGTCGCTCACCTCTTTACCACTGGTCGCCGTGACCTCGAAGGGTGTGGCCCAGTTCGGCAGGGTAAACGTGTGGGTTTCATACTCGCGTGTCGCCATGAGCTGAGACATGCCATACTGCACGGCGGCATGCAGGGTGTGCCAGTGTTGGAGCAGCGCAAGGTTTAGACGTTCCTCCCTCAGTAGATTCAGCAGCCAGACGGTGCTGTCGTTGGACAATCCACGCCCGTCGTTGCATTCGGTGATGAAGCGGAAAACCTCCATCAGCGTGTCGAACCTCTCGGTGGGTCGAAAGTCCGCCTCTGGAACGCGGTCTGCCTCCATAACAGTGGCCTCGTTTTCCTCTGTCTCTGCTGCTTCTTGTACCTCCGCCTCCGTCCATTCTTCAGCATCGGGCTCGGCAGCCTGTCCACGGGCGGTAAAAAAGGTTAGTACTGCGGCGTTTACCAAGGGTGTGATTCGAACACAGCGACGCGAATCGCATAGACGTCACACTCGAACTTGCCTGGTTAGGATTGTCAGCGGTGTGGGCCATGGCATCGGGCAGATCGTCGTCGTCGGAGTTGTCTCCCGCATCGGCAGAAGACGCGGCTTGCGCAACGGGCGCACGAAGTGGAAGGACAAACCGAGAACGGATGGGACCGTTCCGAATGTATCGAGAGCGTATGCGACGGCACATCCCGCTTCGACTTTTGTGAGCGAATAAAGCCGACCGTGAAGTGAAGCGGCAATGGCACCACTCACATGCATACGCCGCCAACGGGTACGGCATGGCGCCGCCTTGCGTAGGACCTAGCGAGATCCGATGCTAGGACAGACCCAAGAAACCATGTACGAAGTGCTAAAGTGGCGCGTCCGATGGTTGCAGATTGGTTGTACGCGCATTAAGTACTTGTTTAAGCGCTATAGTGATTTGTGTTGTTAGGGAATGAGAAGGGTTGTAGATTAAAATCTTCTCTACAGCTGACGAAGCCGACCTGCAGTTCTGCCAGTGTGTAGGCTAAGACAGCCATTGGCAGGTGACACCCAAGCGCACACAAATTGGTCACAGGGTAACATCCGTATTCGACGATGCGAAATAGGAGTACACCGTATTGGTCAGAATTGCATAAATGTCAGCACCAATGGCGATTTCAGGGTTGCTGTAACACGTGTGTGCTGGGAATGGGTACAGCAAGATATGCTGACGCGTAACGAGAGCGGGTATTAGTACCCCCTTCTGGTGTCCACGTCGGAAACTGCTTCCGGGTAACAATCCGACCGGAACTCCTGACTTGGACATTGTTAGACTCACCTGGCCGTTTTTTCACACGAAGCAGATGCGAGGAGGTTACCTGGCTTGTATTATCGCGCAATGACGGACAGCCAACCCCGATATCCGTCTGCAACCCGCAATGGTATTCGCAGTATCGAGTTACTCAACTCGCCGAACCATCGCGGCTATTCGTCAGTTAGTCGTATCACCGCGAAGAGGTTACAGGATGGGTCCACCACTCTTGTACATTTTATCTAGGCTTCGCTAGGATCCATCGGGCGCGTATGTCTCAGCAACAAATGCGCATTTGGTCTGCACAACTCCGATTCTTCACATTTCAGAATTTGCATTCAAAATCATGGTGACCACACGCCCCGCTCTAGAGCGCCTTCTAGCCCGTCCAGCGCAGTGGCGTTCCGCTCGCGATGGCAGTGCACACCCCTCTACACGCTACCGTGGGCCTGTCTGGCCCAAGACCCGCATGACCAAGACTAGGCCCCCGTCTACAGGCTGTTGTTATGCAGGCGGAGTACTTGCGCCTCCTGTCTTCTGGAGTGGCGCCAACACCGCGGAAGCTCGTCGAAGCTGTTGAGCATCTCGTTGCCACCCGTCATGCAACGGCTCGCACGCAACGCCGGCATGCAGTGGGTGCGCTCCGACAAGCTCGTGGCGGCTCTCCCTTCGACACACTGTCATTCCTAGACAGTGCGTGTATCACCGCGGTACTACACGATGAACGGGATGCGGCCTCCGTGCTTACACTTGCGCAGCGCTTTGTGCGCATCGTGGCGGCCGAGGGTCACCTCAATATTAATTACGATGCGACCGGCCTCGGAGACCTGGCATCAACGACTCCGTGCGCTCAGGACTACCGCGTATTTCTTATGCACTTCGCGATGAGCGAAGGATGGGTGGTGAGCTATGGCGAGACTGGTATCTGCTTCACTGCTTACTACGCAAACGTTCATTGTCATGCTAAGCCCACTTATTGGTGTACCTGCAGATGGAACATGGGAAGTACCAATATTGGGGCGCAGAAGATGCCCGTGTCGTTTTCAGCGCGCACAAGATCGTGCAGCCAATGCTCTACAACTATGAACAGAGCAAACACGTTGGCGGCGCAGAAGGGATTGGTGCCGGTATTCTGGCACACGCTGTCGGGATGCTTGCATGGTGGGAGGTGGCATCGCCGGATTGTGAGATATGGCCTGTTTGGAGGGGCAAGCACATGTGCGTGTATCCGTGGGAGGTTCCCGACGGCATGCTCGAGGCACCTCTTTGTCGCCTCGTCAGGAAGGACTATGAGTGGAATCACCCTGACGAGGACCAGTCGGAATTCCGACTCTAGTATATAGTTGTGTCTAAACCATGTGGATGTTCTTGTGTGTGAGAGGTTGACTAAACATGGTTTAGGCTGGTGTGTGTCGGCACTTTGCTTGCATGTTAACTTCGTTCACGAATAGTAATATTATGCCGACAATGTTAACTTCGCTGGATTACATGCGATTTCACTCTCACACGTAGATTTAGGATGTGTGTTTGTGCGACTACCCAACTGGCTTCCGAGCAAGCCAAGGCACCAGCCCACAACGCTCTCGCGCGCTCACACACAGAGCACAGGTCAAGACTAGGATGTCAATTATTGCGCGCGGCGTGGCCAAGCATACTGTACATGTTGAAATGAATGAACAAGAATGGATGAACTAACAGTGAAAACAGTACAAGTACCTAACCCTAGAATTGTGTACCCCCTATAGGCTAACCCACTGTAGCCTAAACAAGCAGAACATATATAATGTTTGACACACCCCCATAGGCGAAGTGGGGAGAACTGGGGGTCACAAGACCAGTCAAGGCAAAGCAAGGCAAAACAAGCTCAGGGTGGATCTCAAGGATACCACACAAATTCTGAGCACAAGCAAGTGGTCACAAGACCAGTTCACATGCAGGTTTATAATAGAACAAGAGGTACAATGATTACAACCTAGCAAGAGTAAACATGCAGGTATATATATATAGAGATCACAGTACAAACAAACTCAAGAAGTAAGCAAGTGAGGTCCAGTAAGCACAAGGCCTAGAAGAGTGCAAAAGCGCTGATGGTCACAAGGCTGAAGCGCCTTGGTGAACACATCAGCAGTGTTGGCCTCAGAGGCCACGTAACGCAGACGAAGCTGACCACGCTGCTGCAGCTCTCGAGCAAGGAAGTAGCGCAGAGCAATGTGCTTCGTTCTGTGCTCCAGTCTGTGCTCCTGACACAAGGCAATGGCTGCCTTGTTGTCGACGTACAGCACTGGAGGAGAACCAGGCCGCTCTCCAAGGTCGGTCAGCAAGTAGGTGAGCGAGCGTAGCTCCTGGGCCGCCATGGCTGTGGCGTAGATCTCAGCCTCACAACTGGAGCTGAGAACAGAAGAAGAGCGAGTAGAACGCCAAGAAACTGAACCAGAGCCAAGACTGAAGGTGTAACCCTGAGACGACCGCTGAGTAGCCTGGTCGTCTGCCCAAGAAGCGTCTGAGTGCCCAGTGAGAACAACTGGGACTCACCCTCCAAGCACTAGCCCCATGCCCGACGTACTGCACAAGTAGCGCAACACCCTCTTAGCTGCATCCATGTGCTCCTTCCGGTGACGGCCGGGAGCGACATAGCGTGCAAGAATGCTAAGAGGGTATGCAAGGTCAGGTCGAGTGCAGGTCATCAGGTACATGAGGCAACCCACAAGCTCTGGATACGGGCCACTCGGCTCTACGAACTCATCCGAAGGCAGAGCTGAGAGCGAGTGACCGGTAGGCAGAGGAGTGGGCTGAGGCGAGGAGTACGTGAAGCGGAAGCGCTGAAGGACCTGCTGCACCATGTGTGACTGAGTCAAGGTGATGGTGCGGCGTGCTCTGTCCCGGGTGATCTGCAAGCCAAGATAGCTTGTCAGTTTACCCAGGTCTGTGCACGTGTGTCTCTTCTGCAGCTCCGACTTCACGTGGGCGAGTGCCGCAGTGTCAGCAGTGGCAAAGACCAAGTCGTCGATGTACACGAGGATGTAGAACGGCGGCAGTAAGGCGTCGGTGCGTAGAAACAGCGACGGGTCAGCAGTTGAAGGCGCGAACCCAAGAGCCGCAAGTGTAGTCCTCAGTGTGTCGTGCCACTCACGTGGCGCCTGGCAGAGACCGTAGACTGGCCGTCGGAGGCTCCACTGGGTACCAGGAGGGAACGACCCAGTGAAGCCAGGTGGGCGGCGCAGCCAGATCTCCTCGTGCAGGCTGCCCTGCAGGAACGCAGTGTTGAAGTCAAGAGAGTGGAGCTCGTAGTCACGCTGAGCAGCGACGTGTAGCAGAACCCGAAGAGTGGTCATCTTCGGGGTCGGGGAGAAGGTCTGGAAGAAGTCAACTCCCTCTCGCTGACTGAAGCCTCGTGCAACGTAACGCGCCTTGAAGACAGGCGGAGAGCCCGGCGGCCGCTTCACCCTGAAAATCCACATGCCACTAACGATGTTAGCCCTAGGCGGGGGAACCTCGTCAACGTAGGTGCCTGTGGACTTCCAGGAAGCCATCTCTGTGTCCATGGCTGACTGCCACTGAGAGGAGTAGGGACCGGCCATCGCCTCTGCGTAAGAGCGTGGGGTCGGGATGTCTGGTGCATCCGGGTCTCCCTCAGGGGCAACAAGCATGAACACGAGATGGGGCAAAGCGGCAGCAAAGCACTCAAACTCCTCCTGCCTGTCCTCAAGGACGTCAGTGCCAAGAGCACACTCACCTCCGACAGACGGAAGAGAGACAAACTCAGACTCAACAACTAGGCTAGCGGCGTAGTCTAGACGACAGGTGGCAGCAAAGTCGACAAGCTCAGCAACTAAGGCAGACGCAACAGCGGACTCAAAGGAAGGGTCAGTGACAACAGTAGCCAGGAGACGCGTGACAGTAGGACTGGCAGCACGAAGGGAGTCTGACCCCGGGTCAGCAAGAGCAGGAAGAGAGGACGCAGGAGGAGACGGCAGTGGGACACGCTGTGGAGTAGTGGAGGGACGAAGCGCCATCCGGTGAGTGCCTGGGACAGCAGGAAGAAGCTGACGCGGGACAC